GATGATATTTTAGATTTGAAAAAGGTCATAGAATACGACAGAAAACACAACAACGTCAGTGTACTGTCTATGTCGCTTTACCAAGACTGGAATCAGACTTACTCTGAGAGGATGAAAAATAGTACCCCGATTAAAAACACAATCGATCGAAATAATGGTACTGCRAACGGAGACGAATACGAAGATGAAGTCGACCTAATAAGTAAAAAAAACACCTAAAACACAATATTAAAATTGGAACTGCGGTGGATCTAGGATTGCTCTTACTGCTGGCGGTGCAGAGGAAGGGGGAATAGGAATAGGAAGTAGTCATAGACTCATAGTACCCATTACAAATAGGTAAACGAATAGGTAGGTTAGGTTAGGTTAGGTTCAAATACTTGAAATACATAATATAACATCTAAGGGAAACCTAACTGGGAAGTAATTGAATCCGTCACTGATTTGTAAAATTTAGTTAAGAACGCGATTGGTCGACGTTGGCAAATAATCATCGGTTTTGTATGATTTTGATAAATAATATTATTTTCATTTTCCGCTATCACGGCTTTATAATTACAACGCGTATGACGTACCATTACTATACTCGTTACTCGTACCAATAAAAATTGGCAAAGATATAGTAAGACTTAAACRAGCACTTGCCCTGAAAAGTATACTTTTAAGGGAAACCTACCTATTATGTCTGTTGATGAGATCCCCTCTGCTCTTTTAATTTTTTTATATTTTAATATTTTATCAAATAATGTTTTTTTAGAAAGAGCTATTAAAGTATAATATTCATWAAAMGGCTTCACTGGTWCTACACTTCCGTCCAAAAAAGGAAAATTTTGTAGGCGTATAGTAAATTTTACCAGTTGACAGTAACTTGCGTCATGTTTCAGTTACGTAGATACCCAAATGGCCCAACTAGATACGGCCGCATGTAAAATCCACYGATTGCGACCTTTTTAGACCTTTTTTCATGTAAATTCCACCGGTACGTTTATTTTACCTGAAAAAAAAATGTAAACTACACCGGTACATTTTCTTTTTACCTGAAAAAAAAAATGTAAACTCCACCGGTATGTTTTTTCATAGCAGCATCAAGTCAATTTTTCCAATTTTTTTTTCAATAATGTAATAAATATATTTTAATAGGTAATAAATTTCAAATTAAAATAACAAATTGTATAACAAATAAATATAAATGGCATTTTTGAGGGAAAATTCATTTTTTAAGGACATTTTTGGCTATTTTTAGAGCATATTTGTATGGTTTTGAGTACATTTAAATCCGGGCCCTAATTATAATATATCTATTGTATTTAAATACAATAGTTTAAAAAAAAAAATCATATAAAAATCAAATAGAAATAATAGAAAAATTTATAATTATTAACATTACATTATAATATATGTACAGATTTATTATTTATATATATTATATTCAGATACTTATATCTTTTTTTACACAATATTAAAATAAATAATATAATAATTCTTGAATACCTATCTAATAGAGCTTTTGTAAAGTGATGTATATTTGGATTTTTATATGGAATTTACGTGCTTTCAGGTCAAAAATACGTATCGGTGGAATTTACATGTTATAAATCCAACATTCCAACCCTAAAATCGACTACCTACCTGTAAATCGGTGGAGTTTACAATCCCCACAATATCATTATAAAATTGATGATTTTTATTAAATGCGCCAATTTTATATTATTATTTAGCCATACCTATTAATGAATTGTAAAATCAACAAAAATTATTCACACAATTACAAAATAGGTATCTGACTTGAAATTTTACCGTGGACCAAACCTATTTGATTATTGGTTAAAAGTTGTTCARCGTTATCTTATGAAATATCTATCTATACTTAGTTAATGAATCAACGAAACAGCGTGGGTTATAGATAAAGTATAAAAATAAWATATACAGATATAAGGTAGGTGCTAGGTATTTAACTAGAAATTGAATACATTAATATCGTTCACTACGTTAGTATTAAATCAAATTTACACATTTTTATCTATTATGCTTTACATTACCAGATTACCTGCAGGACATAAATTTAATATTTCGGTCTTAAGATAAGATTGACAAGGTCACTCGTCCACATGGCTACATATCGATCAAAATATGCTGTACATAAATTTAAACTATTATTAATTCTGAAATTTTTTGTTAAATATTTAATTCATACCTGCCTTCTTATTGGGATTCGAGATAAAATTGTACTTATAATAGCTAGATATAGGTAACCTATGCAATATAGGTAACCWGTTAAGGCAAAATAATCAGCATTTTTCTATACCTATAGGTATTTCTTTATTTACCTAAGTAGGTAGGTACCTAGTAAGCAAGATGGAWGGCTACATTGGGTACATTCGCGTCTAGGTACCTAGTAAATTATTTAATATCGATATAGGTCCAAGACGGTTATATAACACTTTGAACGGTCACCTAGAAAAATTTAAATTACAGAAAGTTTGTAGGTACTATTTCAGGTAGTAATAAAAAGTATATGGCGGACAGTTAGTACTATTTCATGTATGGAAAAAAAAATTATGCATGTCACATAATTTGCAACACAGCTAGTTAAGACATAAATAAAAATAATAATTAATAATAATATAGTTCTTATAATAAATTCGTTTTTCGTGAATTTTCTTCAAATCTGGTTCGAACTCTTTTCTGAGTAACCAGACAGAAGTATTTGATTTTTTGATTTTCTATAATTAATAGCTCGGCTTTTCATATTGGTAAGTGCAAGGTTTTTCAGCTTTTATTTTTTATCACTCGATCCGTGGCTATAATCAGATCATTTTGTTAATAATTCATRCTATGCGATAAATAAAAATATTTAAAAAAAAAATTATTAATATGAAAATAATATGATTTATATAAGTTATCAATCGTCGGTTCGTAAGAGTTTGTAGTAACTTTACTCGTACAAGGTACAAGTCACTTTTGAACACATTTTTAGATTTAGTTTTGTAGTTTGGTTTACAGATCTACTGTGTCACTAAACGCGATCTTAAGTTTTGAGCAATTTGATTTTATCTTATCTTGTAAAATATATTTCCCGGTGTGTTTACACCGTACCTACAAAGTGTCCGCGGTATGCAACTCAAACAATGAAATAGTACAAAGGGGTATAGCCGTTTTCGACCAAAAACGTACCATTTCCTTTTCGACCAAATTTAAAAAAGGTTGATTCCCTTTTCGACCAAATTTAAAAAAAGACTGATTCCCTTTTCAACCAAAAACAAAATTTTTTGTAAAATTATGGTAATTATATAATTATGTAATTTTGACAAATTATTAAAAGTATAAGTTGGTACTGAATAGTACCAAACAATTTGAATTCGATTTGAAAAACCTTCAAAATTTAAATAAATGAAATAATAGAGATAATTTTTAGTGTGTGTGTAAAATTATATCGTTTTGTAAATAATTTTGTCGTGAATTGTATTTTTACGAATATTGTTATTTTACGACATTTTATGCAACTTATAAAAACTATATTATATAGCAGCAATTAAGCAATTATTTTTTTTTTTTTTTACATATATTATATAAATTTTTGTTTTGGCCGAAAAGGGAATCAGTCTTTTTTTATTTTGGTCGCAAAGTGAATCAGCCGAAAAGGGAAGGGTACGATTTTGGTAAAAATTAAAAAGGGAATMAACYTTTTTTAAATTTGGTCGAAAAATGAATCGGCCGAAAAGAGAAAGGTACGTTTTTGGTCGAAAACGGTCTCGCCCGTACAAAGCGTCCGTTTACTACCCTACGATACGGAATTAGATTATAAAAAGTTACCTATACTGATTCTACTGGGTCACAACTTCGAAAATGATAGGTACTATGACCAGTTTTTGACTTTTTAATCCGGCGCAACCACCTAATCAAATACCAATAAATAAAAGCTGGGACCAGGGCCGGCTCTAGGTTTTTCATCACCCAGTGCAAGTATTATTTCTGCGCCCTTTACCCTCTTTTAAAACATGTAAACAGACAACCACGCCCCCCCTGATTTTGGCATCCCTGTGCCGTCGCAATCGTCAATCGCATTTAAAGCCGGTCCTGTCAGTCAGGGACACAATATGCACGCGATGCAGGACATTGAACAATTACCTAAGTAATTTCATTACAATACATATTATTGTTTTATATATAATATATGTATAATATAGATACAATTAATTTAATATTATTTATTTTTTTAATGATTATTATTATACAAGATGTTAGATGATACTAAGATGTGATAGTTGCAGTAAATATCACAATAGCTTAAAYGGGACTGTCACTCAAGTGTATAAAATACACCACTTGTTTTAATTATATTTGTTAAAAGCAAGTATTATATCATTAAATGTTGTGTTTATTAAAGTGAGGAAAAAGAAATTTTACAAAGATCTGACAAAGAACTTTCTATTAACTGCACCTACGTAATGAAATGTTATTCTATCTAATTTTAAGTGATTCAAATCGATATTATATTATTGTAAC